CAACAACAACAACAACAACAACAACAACAACTAGAAGAGCAACACGGTCAACGGGACCCGGAACCGCCAGCCTCGGCATCCGCAATGGCCGCGCGGAAACGGCGGCTCTCGGGGGGAGCGGAGAGCAACCGCCCCGGCGCCGGGCTCCCCCGGTGCCAGCCCTTTCCGCTCACGGTGGGGCCCCGGGCCGCCGCCCCGGCCCCCGGGCAACGCTACCGGCTCCACCCGTACCCGCAGATCGTCGTTGCCCACCGGGGGGCCTCGGCCCACCTGCCCGAGCACTCCCTGGAGGCCTACCGGCTGGCCCTGGAGCTGGGGGCCGACTACATAGAGCCGGACCTGGTGGCCACCAGGGACGGCCACCTGGTGGCGATGCACTCCCTGGACCTGACCCAGACCACGAACGTCGAAGAGGTCTTTGGTACCTCCCGGAACAAGACCCGCTCTCGGTTCAAGCAGCAGCAACAGAAACAGCAGCAGCACGCCTCAACGGGCGGTGGCGACAGCGACGGCTCCCACGGCTACTGGGTCTACGACTTTACGCTGCAAGAGATCAAGCAGCTGCGGCTGAGGCAGCGGCTCGGGGGCGGGAGCGAAGAACGATCCACGGCCTTTGACGGGCTCTTTGAGGTGCCAACACTTACCGAAATACTGCAGCTCCTCAACGACTGGAACGAAAACGTCCAGCGGGTTTGGTACGGGACATTGCCACAGGCGGAACAGCAGCAGCAGCACCGGTATCCCCCCCCGCCCCGTGGATTGTACGCGGAGCTCAAGGATTTTCCGTGGATCCTCCAGGACGCCGGGATCAACCTGCTCGACCGGTTCTTCGACCACATTTCCAGCGAACAAACCGTCTGGGAGGCCGCCCTCTTGAGGCACATGTGTGACACGAAGCACCTGCGGTGGGGCGAGTACAAGCTCCCGCCGCTCGTCCTGCAGTCCTTCGAGGCAGAGGTCCTCAAGAATTTCACGACCCGGTGGGAACAACTGGCCGGGAGCGGCGACGTGGATGACACGGATCCCCACAACACCACCACCAACGACGACAACGACGACGACGACGACAAGTCCCTTCCGGTGCTGACCCAGAAAGTCCTTCTCGATGGCAACACCACGGCCCGCATCCCGCTCCCCACCCCTCCCACCATTGTTCTGGTGTCGCACGACAAGTGTCGGGACGAAAAGTTCTGGTACGAAATGGGACACTTCTATCGAAACACCATTTCCGGCATCGGGCCGGACAAGGCGTGTTTTTTCCGGGAACGGCCGCACCAGGACGCAAACGACGCCGCGGCGCCGGTCTTCCAGTACGAGCCCAGCGTCATGGAACACGCCCAAAAATTCAACTGGGTCGTTCATCCGTGGACGGAACGGCCCGAGCGCGAATTCTTTGCGACCCACCCGCACCAGCGGCGGAAAGCCTCCGCCGCCGCTCTGGCGCCCTTCGAGAGCGTCCTGGACGAGATCCTCTTTCTCAAGTGCACCGTGGGCGTGGACGGGGTCTTTTCCGAGTCGGTCGACGTTGCCGTCCGGGCTCTGGGACTTGCGTGCCCCACCGAGGCGCAAGGGCATCCGAACGCCGGTCCGAGTTGCACAAGGAGCAACGCCACAAGCACGGACCCCTGCCCGTCCTGTCCTCTGGGCTCCGGAATGCTCCTCCCGCTCGGGCCCGCAATCCTCTTTTCCTTCGTGCTCGGGATCCTCGCGGCCCTCCTGGTGCTGAGGTACTGCTGCGGGCTTTCCCCGAGCCGGGAAAGGGTGCCCCTGCGGCGGCGGGCCCCGCGGATCCCCGGGAGGCGGCTCTCGCACCTGCCCCCCCACACGGCCGTTCCCGCGATGGACCGGGACGCCGGCGAGCAAGACCACGAAACCGACACGGAGCCCGCCGGTGGGGGGGTGCCGAGCGGCAATGGCCGCGAAGTCCTCTGAAGGGGAACCACCCTGCCAAACCAAACCGTGAATGCGAGGCAGGCCGCGGCTCGCACAAAAGAACAACAGTGGCGAAGAAAAACCATTGCCGGCGGATTCGTTTCGATTGCAACGAAAGGCTGCCCGTGTAATTGGGAACTCGTGTTCTGTTAGTGATGCAATATTATTGTTAAAGTTAGTTGTAGTCATTCATGTAGCAGTGATGTGTTGGGAACCTGCTCCGGTGGTACTGTCTTTCGCTGGAAGGCCTGCAACCTCATTCTGTCTGTATATACACTATGTACAAAGGTCTAGTTGTTGCGAGCTTCCCCTTGGGAAGAATTTGATCGCGAGGTAGGGACTGTGCAGTTTGATCAAAAACAATGGTGATGCGAAAGATCTGTCGGGCGTTCGGTTCTTTTAGTGGCTTGAGCGGTATGTACAATATTCCCGCATTGTGTCGAACGAGAGATTCATTTCCGGCAAAGGAGAGGAATGCAGTCGGAGCAGTTATGTACAAAGGGCCACTCCCTCGTGGCTGGTGTAACCTTTTTAGTCTCTCGCTGCAGTGTGCTTGGTATGTTGTTGGAGGAACAAAAGTTGTGGTTGGGGTCAAAAATGGATTTCGTTGCTTGGAGCAAGACCATCGAAACTAGGGTGAAAAACCAATCGGTGAGGCGCGCTCCACTACACTAATGGTGCCACGATTGCCCCTAGTGATGCGCATGTCCTCGTCTAGGTACAAGACATCAAAAAAGCCCTTGGGTGGACGCTTCATATCGAAGTGGAAGGAGCTGTCGAAGCGTGTTCTCGAATCGGACGGCAGCGACAATCCGAGAATCAGCTTGAGGAAGTATTGATATACCCAACCAAAGTACGAGCGCTGCTCGTCGGCCTTCTTATAGGCGTTTGCGAAGGTTTTCTCCCACAGCACAAGTGTGGAAGCATGGTCCACCGTGCTATGGTTTCCCGGGATGAGGGTGCTCCCTTGAAACGTTACAATCATGCGATTGTTCCTCTTTTCGTCTTCTCGACAAGTTGCTCTGTTGATGAGGGTTGCATCCAAGTCACCTTCGGGTGCATGGATCGTGAGTTCCAAAACAAAATGATAGCTAAACGTAGCAGCTGTTTCATCGTGCTCATAATACTGTGGATGGACCGGATTTCGTATAGATTTCACCGTACACAAAAGTTCGTTCGGTTGAAATATATTGAACGACAACCTACCAAGAGTGTATTGAACAATGTCTTCTTGGCCAATTGAGGGTTTGATTCTTCCTGGAAAATTTGGAGAGCTTCGCGTGAAATACTCGCCAGGAAACAGTTCGAACCGAGCACAGTTTACTGGGTGAGGGTTCAGCTCGGAGAGTTTCTTGACGGCATCGGCAACTTCCTTGTCTTCTGTACATCCGTTTTTGTCGGATATGAGGGCCCGAAGCTTTGTCTTCAGCTCCCTTCGGCGCTTGAAAGAAGCACTATCTTCTTCTGGAGTCTCGGGCGGTTGGTCTTGCGTCCTGTGGTCCTCCTTCTCTAGAGACGTCACTAGACACACATCGTGTCGGACGTCGTGCAGAGTCTTAGCCACGTCTTCTAAGGCTATGTGAGTCACCGTTGTGGGTGAGTTTGTTCGGGCAACCCCCATGGTTGGTCCATAAGAGAAAAGACCTCCTTCAGCTATTGTGAGGTTCGATATTGTATTATCATTATTTATTTATTTCGTGCCTTACGCGGTTTGTTCTGTATGTCTTCGTTATCGAACTTCCCATGTATCAATGGTACGTACCGTAGTACGAGTACGAGTACGAGTACTGGTACTTTTTTCTTCACGAAGCTTCACCGTATCAATGCCAGTACGTTCGAATGTCGCACATTCTAAAAAGTACGTAGTTATGTACGGTAGAAAAACGAGTACGAGCACAGAATGGATTGTTTGTCTGTCTGTGTTGTCGAGTGTCACGAGTACAATTGCGAGAAATAAAACTCGTCTAGTCCAATAATTGAAATCAATAAGAAGAATCCAGATGCATGGGCAATGGCCAATCCCATGACGCACGAGGCACCAATCCGCGACCAAAATCGGAATGACGTAGTAAAGCTCTTGATACAATTCAGATTCCACAGGGAAGAACGATTCTACCCAATCAGTGAGGTGCAGAGAACACATAGAAGAACGTCTCGAAGGACAGGATGAGTAGAGTCCCATCCACATGTTTGCGACGCAAAGATGTCACATGTCGTTCTTTCTTTTCTGGATAGATTTCTTCCCATCTAAAGTACTAGTAGTATCAAGTACTACACGTTTCAAAATTGAAAACGGTATGGCCAGCAGAAAGCAAAAAGTTTAAATTTGAAGTTCTAAACTCCAATTTGAAGTTAAGAACCATAAACTGCTGTTGCTGGAGGAGCTACTGGAGGAACATTGACTGCTGTTGCTGGAGGACCTTCTGGAGGAGCATCAATTGTTGTTCTTCTTGTTGTTGCTGCTGGAAGGAGGAGACAACAAGAAGGAACATCATCTTCTACTACTACTACTACTACTACTACTACTACTACTACTGGTGGTGAATCTTGTTGTTGGTGGATGTCAACACCACCATCTCTTGTTGTAGAATCCACTCCCAAGAAGAGATTGAATCAGCAGGAGAAGAAATTCAGTGTTCCTGATGGTGCTGCATTTAATGAGCACCTGAAGAGCCAGCAGGAAAGAGATGACAAAGAGACTAATCAGTTTGGTGGCTGCAAGGGACAAGGAGGAGAATACTAAGCAGATACTTCTTAGAGAGTGCAGCTAGTACCACTAGTCAACTTGCTAAAGAGACTTATCAGATTTGGAAGGAGGCTCTAGTATGAATGGTGTTGAACATGTTCAATAAGTTGCAGCAGAGTTATGCTTATGCCAATGCCAATGACAATGCCAATGACAATGCCAATGACAATGCCAACGACAATGCCAACAACAATGCCAACAACAATGCCAACGACAATGCCAACAACAATGCCAATGACAATGCCAACGATAACACCAGCCACAAATGATGACAAATCAGGGAGGAATCCCATCATGATGCTGGTGACAAGGATGAAACTGGTGGAGTTCTTTAGTTGCTTTTTAGTTGGAGTCTTTAGTTGCATTGGTAACAAAATGAGATTAATGCACCCCTGTAAGAGGTAGAGTTTTGTGCTCATAACCTGTGGGAGTGACTATCTAATAGTGATGTAAATTGCGCACTACTAGAAGAAAAGTGAGTTGATGCTCTTATCAAGAATTGAGGAACTATGAAGTCTAAGACCAATCAGAATGAAAATCAAGTGATGCGTGAGTCAAGTCACTCACGGAAGTGAATGAACTGAGTCATGCCGATCGTATGGATCCATAGGATCAAGTGAGTCATATATGTATGGTGTGTATACTAATCATAGATACACCTCATATGTATTTGCCACATTTATGAATCATACCCAAAGTCTGATATCCTATGGACAGCAGAGGAAAGCTTAATCTTCCCCCCCCCCCCTACACGACGTTACAACATCTTCACTAGAGTAATTGGTTTTCATGTATGCCTTGGGAGTGTTCTTTCTTGTTCTGTGTTAAATTCATTATACTGCAATGAAGAACAATCACAATGCAACATACCACAGTGACGAATAATGAATGATGCAGTATATGTGGATGCCAATCAATGACAGTTATTGTGCAAAGCAAACCGTTTTTGTGGGATCCCATATGTGCTACTACTAGTACATGAAAAGAACCTAGTATAAACAAAAACTGATACTTAAGATACTGTATCCTGTACAAGAAGCTGGAGCTCTTCATTCTTTTAGTACTCCCAATATTGTAACAGAGTTGATTAAACCAAGTGCCAAACACACCTTAAGAATGAAATCAACCATTGCTTTCTTCCACCATGGGAGATCCTGTAGTGTGAGGAGTGAAGTGAATTGATCAGGATCTATTGTATCTATTGCAATTTTCTGTACAGGAGTGTCAATTGTATCAATTAGTGATTGTCATTTGCTGTATAGGTGGGGGAAGACCTTTATTTTGGCTTGAACCACAGAGGTATCAACCATGGGATTCATCCACTACTAGTTAACACCTTATTTCCATCCAGGGATAGCCCACTTCCCACATGGAAGTAGCCTCCACCTTTTTTGATATGGCTCCTCAATACTGGTTGCAAACCATGTCTTCATGAGGGTAAATAGGATTTGGTTGTTTATGGCACTAAACTGGAAGTTGTACAATTTGACCAGCAAGTTAATTATGACCCTCCTTTCTCCAAGCTCTTCAAAGTACATCATCTTTGATTCAGGAAACTATCCCCTTGTATAATCCTCATGGTGGTACCCCATTCCACCAATATCTTTCTCAAGGATGTTTCCTCCCTGTTCAAGAGAAGAAGATTCTTTTCTTACTCATGGTCTTTCTGTAAGCTCTTGACAACCTTTGCTCCATTGAAGGATATGTGGACTTCCTCAATCCTTTGATAGATACCATGATCACGCCAGGCCCAGAGGCAGTTGAAGACTGAGATCCTGATCCTTCGTCCATCCAGCAGTGAAAAGACAAACACAATACTGATGAAGGTGTTTTGCTTTTCCACATGTTGTAGAATGGTTTTTGTTTTTACCAGACTTTGGGGGCTTTGATGGCATTCTTGAGTCCATCAGCTGCAGGCCAAACAGGCTGTTGTTCTTCAAGTTGCAGATACTTTTTTCCAATAGCTTGAATGCAGTCATCAACTTCTCTCTTCTTTGGAACACTGACCATGGCATCTGGTGGATGTTTGTGAAGAGCAACTAGGAACACTCTTCTTGAAAACCTGAGCCACTTGTACATGATTGTGGATGTAAAGCCAAATGCTATTGTCATTGATCTAGCAACTGATCCTCTTGTCCAGAATCAATACAGGACCATCTCAATAGCACAGCAGATTGCATCATCAACAATCTCCCTCCTCTTTCCCTTGGGCTTCCCACTTAGGTGGTTGTTGTTGTTGTTCACTGGGTGGAAGAGATGATGGAAGGTGGATTGAGCATATCTATGGATTGCAACAAGAAGTTGGTGGGGGGTTGTTGCATTCATGATTGAATCACTGTGAAGCATGATGTTTTCTGTTGAGGGGAATCAATCTGGTGGCCATTCAGTCATTTCTAAAAAACAGTTCAGCAGTAGAACCTACATGGTGCATGATATGCAAGCAGAAGTTCATAAAATCAAATTGAAGTTTAGAACTTTAAGTTGAAACTCTTGGCACACAGTCAAGACACCGTGCATTGTTAAGAAAATCATAGTATCCTGGACCCTTTTCTTCCTAACTCAAATCTGCAGTTCGGACGTCGTACGGTAAGTACCGTACGTACCGTAGTGCAGTGGAACGGCAAGACGGCATGAGTAGCAGTACTAGCTGCTAAATTACATGAGCACTCTTTCTAGCTCTACTACTAGTGCCATTATAATGTTATTCGAAAACGGATGCAATTACAGTTCATTATGTAGCCAGTAAATGGAGGGACGGTACGGCGACATTAGCAGTACGTCGAGCCATCCACCGGAAACTTCAACCAAGGTTGTAGAAGCAGCAATTCGGTTGTTGCTTCGACTTCGGTAGATCTGCTGCGGGTGGAATACGCTACAAGAGCGGTAGGCTGCTGCGTTGCGTTGTGTGTCCCCCGCGCACTGCGATGACAGCAGGGTTCGGTTTCTGGTGCTACTGGCCGTTTCGTTCGAAAACTCGGAACACGATACACAGACCCATAAGAGCCGGTGGCTTCCTTCGAAATGGTTCAAGCCACCAAAGTCGAGGAAGATGAGAGGGAAATGATTTATTGGAAAGCATAGATTTGTTGTGTTCCAGCGACGTGTGGCCTGAAACAATCATTATATGCTCCTGCCTTCTTGCCCCCTCTTCTCCTTCTGGCACGCACTGGTCACGGCAAGATAACTCCCTCCCCGTTGGCGCACCAGGTCCGCTGGTGCTCATGGACCCGTTCGAGGGACACCGTGTTGCCGAAACAATCCAGAACCGACACCCCAACGTCGTTCAAGTCCGCCGCCAGCCGCTCCCCACACCCCATCATGAAGAGAAAGGCCCCCTCCCCCAGGCGGTCGACGTACTTTCGGGCCTGGGCTAGGACCGATCCGACCGCACCAGTGCTTCCGTGGGGAATGCTCGAGGCCCCGTAGTACATCTTGGCCTCGATCCAGTGAATCGTTCGTTCTCCCGGCAACACGATTTGCTTGCCCCTGGGCTTCTCCCTCCGTATCTTCCGCAGTAACACCGGTGTTCGCAGGAGAAAATCCGGTGTTACAGCGAGGCTGGCCCCTTCCGCTCTCGCCTTGCGTTTTTGGTCGTCTTCCGTCAGGTAGTCGACCGAAGATCGCTTCAGGAATTCTTCGATGACGACCTCGAAGATGCGTGCCGACTCCCGGATGACGTCGTAGGTTCCGAGGCCGAGCTGCGGCATGGATTTGGGGGGATTCAAGAGCTTGATGTGGTGCCGCCGGAGGGACAGTACCTGCGGAAGGCTCATCCGTTCGTCCTTGGAGGGGGCGAGGTTCCGTACAGCCTTTTTATACTTGGTGACGAGAAAATTGGGTTTGTCCTTCATCATTCCCCGCTCCTTTTTCCCGTTCCGCTGGAACATGAACTCAATCATTTTTTCTTCCTGCCACAGCGGAATGCAGGGAAGAGGGCTGTCCCAAAGCAGGGTCTTGGCGTGGTCATCGTTTTCGCCGCGGTCGGTTGTGACAGTGGGTTGCTGGTTCTGCCGGCTCTGGGCTTTGCGGCGTGGCATTCGGTTCGATGGCTGCTTCTTCCGGTTCGGATGCGGTTGTGGTTGTTTCCGCTGCAAAGGATCGGAGCGGCCGTCGCCGTCAATTGCTGGCTGATAAAGGGGGTTCTTCCGATCAGTGACATTTTCTCCGGTTGGCTGGTGGAGATGGTTTGCACTGGAATTGCCGTTAGCATTGCGCCGGTGCTGATTTCGTCCGAGGTGTTTCCGGCGCTGGGATTGGTTGCGATCTCCCTTTCTGGGTGGCCCTTTCGTCGATTCCGTACCCTGTCTCGTAGCAGAGGATCGCTCCTGGTCCTGGTTGTTCGGGCCTCGCTTGTACAGCTGATTGCGGCGGTAGCGCCGGTCGATCGGGGCATCGGGCAGTGGTTGGCTCGGATCGGCGAAAATGTCGTCCACGCCGCCGTCCTCTGGCCGACCGTTTTGCCGGGAACGAGAAAAGCGTCGTATCTTTGGCATTGTTCGCTGTTTTTTCTTGCCCTGTTCTGTTTTTGCCGTTGTCTTCGTCGTCGTCGTTTTCTCGTCAAAGAACAAGAACCGAGACTAGATATGAAAAAGTGAAAAAGTTCGATGTCAAATTTTCAACACAAAACGAAAAACAACGTGGAAATCTGGGCTCCGTTGATTGATTTAGACCCAAAAAAGTGCTCTCCTACTCATCTTGACCGACTAAAATTTTCGTCTAGTTCCTTCGAGTGATAAATTTAAAACGTCTTGACGTTGGAATTGAACGTGTCTCAACATGAAAGTCATGTCAAAAAAATATTAAAACAGTTTCCCAAACATCCCATAAAAAAGGAGACTAACAAGGGCAAAACAACAAGAATTTTGTTGAAACAAAATTGGCATTGTTTCTCCTCTTCTCTGTTTCTCTTTGTTTCTCCGTCTTCTTCAAAACAAAGAGAATCTCCCCCAAACAAAATCCACATCATTTTCTTTGTTTCTGGTCCTTTTTCAAAACTAAACCCCCAAAATTCATGTTGTTCCTCATATTTGTTCTTGTTTCTCCTCCTTTTTCAAAACAAAGACAATAAAAGAAAATCTTATTCCCAAAAATTTACATTGTTTCTTTGTTGTGGCACAAACTTCTTAATTTAAGACAAGATTATCTTAACACAGACAGACACAAGAACACATGGCATTTCTTTTTGCCCCCTACTACACCATGGAGGTTCTTCTTGTAGGAGTACTAAGGATTCTCTGTTGTATTGGAATGGTCTCTGGAATTCTTGTAATAATACAATCCACTCCTTGAGTAGATTCATCACAGATGAGCCTTTCATGTAGAAGGAAATCGTCCAGCAGATCAAGAACATCCTCTTGATGAAACAATTGTACACTTGCATCATTGTTGATAACCTTATGATGACATGCCCCACTTCTGTGATGAAAATCAGCACCACGTCCATGCAGATGAATATGCTCTCCTCCTACCATTGTAGCTGACTGATCATTAGACATATTAGCTTGGCACTACACAAGAACCCTTCAGACAGATTGGTCTGTGATGCATCAATCCTGCCTCGTTGGATCATAGACTTGAATGGTGATAAATGGTGGTTGGTGGTTGTTGATTTGTGAGCAACTGCTGCCAATCACTTGAGTATCAGTATCCACAAATGCAAACAACTTGATTAATTACTTGAAGAATGGGAATTTCCACCCGCAACATTTTGCTTGTGCTCAATCAAATTGTCCACAACAAGAATGACCACGTGCAACAGCCATCCACAAGAATGACTGTCCACAACAACTGACTGCAACAACTCTCCACAATGACTGTCTGTAACATCCATCTGTAATAACTGTTTGCTTGGGTATCCACAAATGCAAATTACTTGAGTAGTAGGGAAGCCTATGCACACTGGTCCCTTGAGCAGTATAAGACAGTAAACAGGTGTTTTGCTTGACACCAGTCCCCTTGTGTATCCCCAAGTGCAAATGCTTGAGTATTGAGGTGCCTGCATGCTGGTCCCTTGAGTATCAGCAAATGCTACAAACATTTGCTTGAGTATCTGCAAACGCAAAGCGTCTGAAGGTTAGTCCCTTGAGTATCCACAAACGCAAAGCATCTGTACACCACCAGTCCCCTAGTAGTAGAGTATCTGCTAGTAGTAACACTGCACAAATGCAAATTGCTTGAGTATCCGCAAACCCAACAACCGTTCGCTTGAGTATCTATGAGTACATTAATGGGCATTTCGCTTGAGTATCGAACAAGCCCCCATACTCCAGTTCCGGATGAGGCATTTTCTTAATGTGTTTCCTTTGTTGTAGCAGAGCAATTTGCGGTAGAGAGAAGCGGTGCAGCATTGGATGGAGTTAGTAGCACAAGTACATATGGTATGTAGTAGTAGGATTTGTACTACTAGTAGTGTACTGCTGCAATGTACTTGCAAGTACAGAGGGATATGCTGCCCATAGCAGGCAAGCCAGCCGGCCCTGGAGGTTGGCTTTACTAGTATGCGTTTGATGACAATTGAATATTGAATACTGCAGTCTTGTTGCCAGAGAGCAAAAAGTTTTGATTTGAAGTTTTATGCTTCGATTTGAAGTTATGAATGTACCGTACAAGCAAAAGTCTCGCACGCAGTTTTGAACTTCAAATTCAAATTTTTTGCTCCCTGTTGTTACGAAATGCGTACGTACGTGCGTACGTAGTACCGTAGCGTGCTTGACAATGTTAGGAGCTCCAGTCTAGCACAAGCACAAGCACAAGCACAAGCACTGACTGACAGGCTCTGCCCCGACCACAAGACGACATTTCGACTTCCACTGGCGGCGAGCCGCGAAAGACCCACCCTGTTTTCTTGCCCCTGCCACGGTGAATGGAATACGAGGACGAGTTTTCGATGCGTTGGGCACCCCTCTAAACCGAATGCATGGCCCCTGTATGAGATTATGAAGCACGGGCACGCAAGACCTTGACTCCATCGATCCCAGGCAAGGCACCGAACCCACGCCCATGGCGGCAGCAGCATCGGTTGCCGGCCGCCGCCTTCCCCGCCTCGCCCTTTACCTTCCCCTGCGTCTCGCGCGAAAGGTGCCCGGGCCCTCTGGCGGTGGCGCAAGTGCGATCGCTGGCAGGGAGCTCCCCCCCCCTTTGGTGTTTGCGGGGGTGGAGGTTTCGCTCCGCGACCTGGGAGCCGACGACGCGGAGCGGGCCGCATCCGTCGACCTGCTGGCCCGCGCCGGATTTGACGCGGTGGTCCGCATCGATACCAGCATCCACCCGTCCGGGGTGCGGAGCGCGAGCCGTTCAGCCGCCGCAATGGCGTCCCGGTCGGTGTCGGACCACCTGGAATCCTTCGCACGGCAGCTGGAGGCCGTTTCGGGCCTCGGCGGGGGCGTGGCGCACGTCACCGTGGATTGCCGCGGTGGCTGCGACAGCGGGGACGCGGGCCACCGCCGCAACCGGGCCGTCCCCTTTGTCTGGAACGAGGACACGGCCCTGGAGTACGTCCTCGGGGCGGTCCCTCTTTCCGCGCGGTTCCTCGAGGACCACCCCTTCATCGGCGAGCGCGGGAACGAAACCGACGGCATGGGGGGATCCCCGTCCCACCTCACGGGGATCACCCACGAATACTACGATGCGTCCAACGCAACAGCGACAACCACCGGGAACGCCGGTGGCAGCAGGGTATTGCTGAACAACCTCGATATCACCAGGCACTTGCTGGAAATCCTGCCCCCCCTTCGGTTGTCCATGGACGATGCATCGGGGCGCCATCCGTACCACCGCGATTCTTCCGCAATGACGAACGAGGGAACCAACGACAACCACGGCGACGAGGCAGAAGCCTTCTGCCTGGAAGTCTTGCCCCACATCGATCTCATCCGCACCAAAGCCGCCGCGGCACCGATCGCGCCGCCTGCGTCCTTGGACCAACCACGCAAGGATCGCAATGCTTCGGCATCCGAAACCACAACGGATACTGCGTTTTGCATTCCACCCCACAGGGCCTCCCTGTGGAAGGACCTCTGGACCCGCAAGGAAGCCCGTGGGGTGCAAGAAGTGGCCATGATTCTCGAAGACAGCGATTTCTATGGCAACCAGGGCAATCTTGTTGCTGCTACAAGCGAAACACGAGCGGAAGAACAAGACGAAAACGAGAGGGAGCGACGACTGAACGGGTTTGCTCGGGAGATTCACGGGTGTTTCGAGCATTGGTCGTCTGGATTTTCACCAACTAGCTAGATTGCTGCTAGCCCACAAGACAGCCTCCACCGCACCCGTGCCGTGTGTGCGTACACACTCACCCGCTTGCTTGCGCAAGGACGTGCGTTGTTGCCGACGGCACTCGCAACACACCACGGGGATTGCTGCTTGCCAAACCACAAGCGTTTCGCGCCTCACACGCCAAACGAGTCGACTAGAAGGATGTGCAAGTGACAGAAACAAATAAAAAATAAAATAAAATACTATACTATACTATACGAGTACACCAGTATCACGGTCTTGGTTCTTTTCTGTCGAGGAACCGATGAATGAATGCAATGCTGATTGTACCGTAGCCGGGGAAAGCATTCAAGCTGGTTTGTGGGCACGGCACGACGTGTACCGACACAAAGTCGGATGACCTTTCTGCTCGTTTCCCACCCTTCGAAATCACTCCGAACCGTTCTTCCTACTCGATTCCTTCAACCGCTCCGCACCGTAGTTGATCGCAGACTGGATCGTCCCCGCAGCCATTCCAAGGGCAAGCCCCGGGAGCAGTCCAGCGAGCCTTCGGGGGCCGCGGAGGGTCATGGCGGAATTCCGGGCGTACATTCTGCGACCAAACGAGCAGATCACACCGGCGACGGCCCCCCCGATGGAGTAGTCGGCCACCGCAATCGCGGCGGAGGACCCCGCGGTCTTCCGGTCGTCCCCGAGCAACGGGACCGGCGTCCCGCAAGCCGACCCAACCTGCTTCGCGAGCAGGGCAGACGGCGAGGCGAGTCTCGACGCCTCCAGGACGGAACAGAACACCATGCAGGACACGGCCCAGGTCACGGACAGGGGGTGGGACGATTGGCGGGCGGTGGACGAGGCAAATCTTCCGCGCTTTCGTCTCGCGGCCGCCGCGACGCCCTCGGCGGTGGTAAGCTTCGCGGCTTCCAGCCGCTTCTCGAGGGACAGGCCAACGATGGTGCCTCCCAGTCCGCAAAAGGTGATCCGCATCATCGATTCCATTGTGTCTTGCAGATCGAAGGGCCGCGCTTGTTGTTCTGCGTCGGTCTCCCACTCTTCGTTCCGCGTTGCCCCTTCCATGCTTGCGAGCACGCTGCCGTATGGTCAACACAACCTGTTCCTCCGTTCGGGATCGGTGCCTGCCTTCGGGGGTTCCCTCCACAAACCCGTGGAATCCCTTGCGGCAAAGGGTGAAATCTGGAACCCGAGCGCTGTTGTTCCTAAAAGCTCTTAGCCTGGGTTGTTGGAGCTGTCGAAAGCGTACGTACTCGTAATGCACACGGTGGAGGACCAGGGCATCTTCACGAATCGCAACCGACCGAGCACAGTCCATCAGCGAGCAACACTGTTTCTACCGTACGATACGGTACGACCACAAGACCATATTTGGTGGAGACTGAGGTTGTACCGTAGCGTTCTACTACGCGTAAAATAATTGGCTGGCTCACGCAAGTACCGTACTGTACTGTACTTACTTCCTCCGGTCCACTATATGTGTCATTGTAGCACGTTTCCTATCGAAAGAAGCTCAATATTCTGCCAGTTTCAATGCTTCTTTTTTTGTTTAACAACTGGATTGTAGATCTGCTGGCCAACTCTATAATACATGTATTCAATCCAAGCAAACAAACAAAAAACTGGAAAGAATACAACATGTTCTGCTACAATCCCTTACCAAGGACTTTCTATCAACTTCCTTTTCAGTGGAAAAAATCAAAAGGTTCTTCATGGGCACAAGATTATAAAGGTTTTAATGGCAAAACAAGTTGTATCCACATTTCCAACCACTTCCTCACATGTTATTTTCTTGGCAATACTCCACTCTCAAAAGTATCCCCAATTACATGGTTACAAAAATTCCTAGACATCCATACACCAGCAAACTGTCAAAACAAACAAATTTACATGGATCCTCAGGGTGTCAAACTTTATCACAACCCCAAACTACCCCAAAAGGATATCAGATACAACCCACAGAAACTGATTCATCCCATCAAAACAGGCCAGTTTTCTCTCTGGTCCAAAGCAACCAATAAAATTTTGGCCGTATGCATTTCACCATTTGCTTCAAACACTAGTAAATGCTTTACCACAATGTACCCACACTCAATCACCAATCCAACTTGCCACTGGTGGCAAGAAAGAAAATCTGGGCAACTTCAAAGTCTTTGGTTGCCAAGTCTGGGTACATCCTCCTGGAAGACAGCCAGAAAAATTCAAAAATAAATCCAAGAAAGCCACATTCCTTGGTTAGTACCTCCTACCACAAATCACAAATAGCATCCTCTGGTACAACGTCACAAAAACTATTCGCGACCCGTAGCGAACCCCCCATCGCAACCCCGTCGCATGCCCGAACGCGACCCAATTTTTAT